CCCGTTTGAAAAATAAAACCACACCTAATGACGCCGTCTCATGATTCAGCAGCCACCTGCATGACTTTTTAAAAAACCCAGTCACACCAGGTTTAATTATAGTTCAAACGTTTCAAATGATTAAACCACAAACTAATGTTTTTTATGTAGATCTGATCTAAAAGTGTGTTTCGCTCTCACCCTTCTTTTTTGTTTTTCAAAGACATAATTCAAATCCCGAGTCTTTCCTGCTCGCTGCAAAATCTATAGCTGATTTTGGCCCGATCAAAAATATTAATAATAAAGAAACAACTGTGGAAGTTTCGCAGCCGTAGAGGAGCACAGACTTGACATTGAAGTTAAAGAGTCAAATCTTGGTGCGCAGTAAAATCTTGCTTGCTTTCAAGACTTTTAAAAGGTGATTGAATGCTGGCCTTGCCTTGGTGGTTCTTGCTTTTACATCTGCCTCAGTTCCACCTTTACCATCGATGACACTTCTAAGGTAGGTAAAGGAGCCCACTTCTTCCCGGGGAGTATCTTCCACTGTCACAGCAGGGCTTGAAACGATTCCTGGCTTCACTACTTTCAACTTGCCGGATGTATACGTAAGCCAACACTCCTTGATAGGCTGTTGAGCTGCTTGGTCTTTTCTTGCATCTGAGCATATATGTGAGGGAGCAGTGCAAGGTAATCGGCGAAGTCCAAGTTGCCCATCTGCTGCTAAGGAGGTCCTCTGTATTCCACTGCACTTGCCTCTGGTGGCTTCTGTCATGACCCAATCAATTACCAGTATGAAGAGAAAAGGTGAGAGAAAACACCTTGTCGCACTTCTGTCTGTACCTGGAATGGTTCTGAGAGTTGTCCTTCATAGGGGGCCTTCACAAGCTTGACGATTTTGTCAGGTATCCTATAAGGCCGCATGAGTTTCCACAGTTTCACTGTCCACGCTGTCAACTGCCTTTTCATAATCAATGAAGTTAACCACAAGTGGTGAATTCCATTCAAGCGATTGCTCAACAATGATGCAGAGAGTAGCGTATTTCCTTGGAGCTTCCCATCTGTTGCCAGCTTGATTCTTTCCAGGAGTATTCCGTTTAAGACTTCCCCAGGCATGGACAGGAGTGCTATGCCTCTGTAGTTGTTACAATGCTGAGATCCACCTTCTTTGGCAGCTTGATTATGTGGCCTTGCTTCCAGTCTGATGGTATTTCCTCCTCTTGCCAAATCTGTTCAAATAGAGCATAGAGAATTTCCACTGATGTATTTTATCTGCCTTATGGGTTTCTGGTGTATATGGTCAGGACCAGTGTGATGTCAAGGGACATGACTCTTGTCTTTACCGTGGAGACAAAATAATTAAGGGAGTGGCACGCCTTTGGATGACGTCAAAGGTACCGCGGGGACATAGGCGGAGATCGTCTGAGAGACTCACTGAGAGATTCAGTCGGACTCAGAACCACGACGAGGCAACACTTATCTTGGACGGGGGCCCCCTGACAGACCCGACTCATCTGACCGCCAGGTAACTTTACAAACCAGCTGCCTTGTGGAACTTCAGTGATGTTATAGCTGTAGCAATTTCCTCTCCCGAAGGTGGTTCCGTAACTATTGGGAGGTCATTTCTGGATGGAAGAATTTCTATTTGGTTTTCTGGAGGTGGTCTGTTCAAGAGTTGATCAAAGTGTTGTCTCCGCCAGTTACAGTTATGCTGCCCTTCTGGGTCAAAGATAATCTTTGTCGTTCATTGGTACAGTGGGCTTGCTGAACCTACCTGAAAGAGTTTTCCTTGTCTGGTGTACAATCCGCAAGTGCCCGTCTGTTGCTGCTTTCTCTGATTTTTTGGGCCAGGTCATTCAAGTAGGTATTCGCGTCCTTCTTGATGGAATTCTTTACCTACTGGTTTACTTCGGTGTACTCTTTGCTGTGCAGCGAGTTTCTTAGTTCGGATACGGCTGTTGTTGACGTGGGCCTTCAGCTCTCTTCTTCTTTTGACTTTGTCAAGCTGCACTTGTACTTGGATAGTAATATTTAACGTGCTATACTTTGTATCGACGATAGCAGAAACACATTAGAAGTGGGACTGATGATGATGATGAAAGCACATTTATAATGTTAGAAAAAAAGGTTTTTGTTGTGCCTTAAGTACACTTAATTTAGTTGGCAAGGAGCAAACTAGTGCTGATATTTGGAGATCATTTAACAAGTTGTCTTTTCGAAGTTCTGTAAACATACTTTTAGCACTTCACTTGTCTCTGAATACCAAAAGTTGTGGAAAAGGCTAAATGCCAACATGATTGTCATACACATGAAAAAAGGGACCGTTTCGTAAAAAGAGAGAGCAGTTTAGTTGTGTGTAACCTACAATGGACGATCACTCTTCTTGGACAGTGATCAGTTACAACATCGTGTCTGACCGGTGACTTTAAGTACCTAGCCACCAGGATATGTCACAACGACACAAAACAGATCAAACACTACAGGATGTTTTTCTTACAGGACAAAGAGATACCGGTATTCCATATCATCGACAAATCACGTAAACGTGCAGTGCAAGATAGTTAGTTTAGTTTTAGTAGAGGTTTTACGGTGCTTGCAACTGCATAAGGTCATATGAGCGCCAGAAGATTAGAAGTGTTACAAGAAAGTACGGTAACAAACATAAAAAAGAAGAAGGGGCGATAAGGACGATATATGTTTGATAGGAAGGAAGGAGCAAACCACACGAGAGCACCCGCCAACCACCCACAGTGCAAGATATGTACAAGTATATGAGACCTATATATATAAGTTATAAATAACCAACAAAATAGAGGTCTTTTTCGGAACAGTATTCTTTTGTTTTTAACTTTATAAATTGTGTTTCGTTTTTGCGAGGTTTCTTTTTTTCTCTTTTCTTTCTTTCTTTTTTTTGGGGGGGGTTACAATCTTAGACGTATTATAAAGTTCCATTTCGTCTCCTTCTGCATGAGCAGGCGCGCCCAGTCCGCTTGTACAGGTACGCAGATTCCAGTCATGGCCCACCTCCTGAGCTTCGCCTTTCTCTCGGCTGTGCTGCTCGTGCTGGCAGAGGCCACCTTCATCCGTGAGTACATGGTGTCCTTAGAGTCTACATGATGGCACTGTCGTCGTGAGCATCAATTGATCAGAGATTTGACATACTGCACTTCTCTCTCTCTCTCTCTC